GTCACTCTACAATGACAAGAAGAAGCCAGACCGCCACACTGAAGGGTGTATGGTTACAGTCATAGACACGGCATTTGTGGGCAGCCCACACTTCTGAGACAAAGTGAGCCGAAGTATAGGATTACCAGGGTGATACCAAATGCCGCCTGCGCCGAGGGGGCTTCATCACATTACCTTTGAAAATATTTGAGTCTAGAAACACCATACACTGAATACAAAATCCGTGAATAGCTGACCCCTGGGTGTGGCTTAGGACTTATTATTCTGAGCCAGATGGTACTTTCTTTAGGGGATAACTAGATGTTCGGAGCTAGGACTAGGTAGTGAGAAGGTAAAAATGAAAACAGAGTCAAGCTGAGTGTCTTTGAATGCTTTTAAAGGGCCGAAAACAAAAACAAAGTTTAGATCACATTGGAAGTTCCGTTTTCCTTCAACATGGTTTTTTGCTTAAAGGGACCCAGCAGCAGCAGCAGCAGCGGAGCACCGAGATTGTGAAGCTCCACATTTGTTGTTACTCAATTTCAGTCAGCCTCCAGCTACTAAAGAGAGAAAAAAGACGATTTAGGTTACAGGGTTGCTACCCGCCCGCTGGGCTGCAAGGCCTCTCCCAGTTCACCCCAGGATGTCGAGGCCCGAGATGCAGGTGAGTGTCGGCTGCCACTGCCACTCTTTTCTCTCTTCACGTTGGCTGTCGCTTTGTGTTGGTTGGAGACTTAGCAGACTAGGTTGCACAATGCAAAGTAACAAAGGACCACGTCCTTAAAGCTCCTAGCTGCAAGAGGGCTCACTTTCTAAATGCCGGAGACAAGGAGGAGCATGAAGAGTCTCAATTGTTGCATCACTGCCTCCAACAGTCCACTCGTTTTAAGCGTAGGCAGTAGGTTAGACTCAGAAGCGTGCGCTTGGGCCCCCAGGGGTCAGGGTCAGGCGGTGGCGCTAACCGGGACTTCGCTGGGGGAAGGCAGGGGAGGTGAGTGGGAATGACCCCACAGCTGGGTCGCAGACACCTTCCCTGGTTTGCCTGGGGAACAGAGATCCAAACACAGACCAGAGGGTGTGGGATACGGTCAGAGGGTGTGGTCACAGGTATGTGGTCCCCCAGTTTTCTTTTGGTGGTGAAAACACTCCTCTACTATGTAAAGAGAAGAAACGTCACCTCCGATTTGCTGAGCTTCTTTTGCCTCTCATGTCTATGGAGTCTTGTTTTTTCCAATCGGTAGACATTCTTAACTGATTCTGTCAAGGTCATTCCAGGCATGGGTAACTTCCTGTCTTACAGAGACAAGTGGGTGAGCTCAGATGGGCAGCTCAGCCCCGAATTTAGACTTCACGATGAGGTACACCACGCAGGGAAGTGCGGTCAGCATGGTGAGCACCTTGCTGTTCATCTCTGCCCGGGGGCCAGGCTGCGACGTCGAGGCAGCGAGCGAGCGTTGCCGGGACGCTGGGACTCCGCTTGCTCAGGGTGACTGTGAGCGGCTGCTGAGCTCACAATGGTCCGTGCAGCTGCCCCAGGAGCTGAGGCCCCAGAGGTACTCCTGGGCTTCGGGACGTCCGGCTGGACGCTCCAGAAAGGTTCTACTGGGTTCTGATGGGAATCTCTTTGACAGTGCCTTTGGATCCAAGGGTGTTGGCGTAAGACCTACCGTCCAGCTACCTGTAAGGGTCCCATTATGTTAAAGATAGGAATTGTCTTTAGAAGAAAAACCCTCTTGATATTTTTGGTGCACATACACATGCTCACAACATAATAACAGCAAAATAGTAACAAGTTAGATTTCCGTATGTAGTGGCAGTTCTTTGGGCTTCTGACTTATCTTGGTGGGGTCTGTAGAAAGATATATAGAAAACTTAAAAATACCAGTTTCAATGGAATGCTATTTTGGAGCTGAGATCTGGCCAGTACAATTCTTTTTTTTTAAATGGTTTTTTTTTTTTAATTTATTTTATTTATTTATTTTACATTTATTATGTGTGTGGCCAGCTCAGCCCACCAGGGGGCGGGGCTGGCTGGCATGTGGTGCTGGGGGATTGAACCGCGGTCCCTGTGCTTTAGCTAAGCTTGTTGTAAGTAGGTGCTTTAGCCCACTGAGCCATCTCACCAGCCCCAGTACAATCTTTTCTTAACAAGAAAGGTTTGGAACCCAACGATGATCCGCCAGCTCCCCATACAAACAATGCACAAGTAGGATTTTTTATAGCTTTGGGTCCTTGAAAGTCCTATAAAATTAGTTTGCCTTCTTTTCTTTATATAAACATTTGAAAACACTCTTTTTAATCTCAGATATTAGACACTGCTTTATTTTAAATTATTGAGTGATTTTTCATCTTTAAATAACACATTTATTCTATAGATGTTTTAGAATTTTGAGGATGTTTTAGAGACAATATTATAAATATAAGTTCCTGGGTCAGGGAGACAGCTCAGCGGCATAAATGCCCGCCTGACAAGCACAAGGTCCTGAGTTTGATCCCCAGTACTGCAAAACAAAACAAAACAAAACAAGAACAAAATAAAAAAAATAAATATGAATTCCTTGCTTTATCCATTAAATAACACCTCAGATAAACAGTGCCTCATCTTCTGCTCTCAGGCGTTCTTTAGTCTTCCAACACCAAGGTTAATTTTGGCTTTGAAAATTTCTTTTCAAATACCCTGGCTAAATCCCCGCTCTGTGTTGAGCACCAGGCCAGGCCCTTCACTGTATCACCTCATTTCACTGCCCAGCAATCCCGTGGGTCAGGCATAGCTGTTGTTATCCTTTTAGAAGGATAAACTGATACTCAGAAGAGTTAAAAACTTGCCAGATGGCATACAGCTTATGAGCGGAGAAGGCAAAATTCAAACCCAGGTCTCCTGACTCCAGCCCACCTACCGGGCCTCCGACTTTCCTAGGAAGCATTTTCCTAGCTCTTCCACTTGGTTGGAGCAACCTATAACTCTGTTTATGAAGAACAGACCCCCTCATCTTATACTAAACCCCACGTTCTAGAAATGGTGTGTCCTGTGGCTCTCGCCTCCCTTCCCATCCCTTCGAATCATTTTTAAAAATTTGAGTTCTCTAACACTGGCATGTGATCCGTAAAACTATGATTTTTGTATAATGTCTCACAGAGGCCTTTACCACACTTAGATTTTACTTTTTTTCTTTGCTCAGCTTTTCATCAAACATATTATTTTAGCTTTGGGGGTTAACTAATAACTCACAAGTCCATAGATCATACAAATTTGCATGAAGAAGGACAGACAGATCCGGGCCAGGGAGGACAGCCTGGGACTGCTGGGGCTGCTGCTACCCAAGCCAGCCAACCTCAGAGCACGGCTGGCACTCAGGCTCAGAGGCAGCCTCATTCACTCCTCCTAAAACTTGGGATAATTTTACAACCTTTAAGCAGTTGTCTCAGACGTTTACAGATTAAAAAGTGTATTTTTAAATTTTTATTCTTCTGATACAGGGTCTCACTATGTAGCTCCTAGTGATCCTCCTATCTCAGCCTCCTCAAGGCTGGAATTACAGATGTGTCCGGTTTCAGTGGCCCTCAGGGGACTCCTGGCATGGCTTGTGGTGCCAGGGGTTGAACGTGGGTCCTTGCCCTGGCCAGGCAGGTGCTTAGACCACTGAGCTATCTCCCCAGTGCTCAAGGGGTATTTTAATTTTTCTTTAAATATTAAAGAAGACTCATACTGAATGACAGCTGGCTTTGCACTAACCATTTTCAAGAGTATCCTCAGAACAGCTGCCACCACGCTGTATCCGGGTGGTGGCAGTGGGCCAGGGCTGCTCAGGGGAAGGCAGCATCTCCAAATAGGCTTCTGCCTCAGCCCTAATGAGACGAGGGCTCTACAGCTGCAGAAGGGCCTCCAGATGTAAGAAGCCCTCTTTGTCCTCCCTCAGTCATATTTCTGCCAGGGCCTTCTCTATGCTTCTCTGACACACCAGGGACAATCAGGGGGAGGGGACCAGAATGTCCAGAAGGACATGTTGGAAAAAGTAGCCAATGTGGGGCAGTGGTTGGGCGCCATCACGTGAACTGAAATCAGCCAGGCGGGAAAGCTCAAGTGCCGCGTGATCTCACTCCTGTGAGAAATCCTAAAGAGTTGATGCCGCAGAAGTAGAAAGCAGAAGAGCAGTCGGCAGAGGCAGCAGCTGGAGGGGGGTAGGGAGAGTTTGTTGTGGGCACTTAGGATAGGTAGAATTATGCTCTGGAGTTCTACAGTAGGCTGACTGCAGTTAACAATAGTGTATGCTTTGAAAGAACTGGAAGAGAGGATTTTAAATGTTTCACCACAAAAAGTTAAATGTCTGAAGTGATGAATATGCTAATTCGTCTCTTTGATTACTCTACTTTATATACATATAGTAAAACATCCCACTGTACCCCAATATGTACAATTACTATGTGTCAGTTAAAAATAAAATAAAATTCTTTTTACATTCAATCTCAGCCAACAGGCCAAGAAGCTATCAAACAAAACTATTTTTGAAAGAGAGAGAGACTGTGTCTGAGGAGAGCCAGCTTTCGGAGGCTGTGAGAGCGATTAGCGGTACGTGGAAGGGGTGACGGCCACAGTGCTCCCAGCAATCCTCAGCCACCGTTCCATGCTCTCATTCTGGGAGAACCAATCCCTCCTAAGAGGACGGCAAAGATTTGGTCATTAACTGTAGACCAATGTTTTCCTCTAAATTTAATGAATAAAAACTACAATATGTCCCACTTTTTAAAATTATTCCACAGTACTTAGGATACGTGAGCTTTTGGGTGCACTTTCTGTCTGTGTGTTTATGGCTGAATTCGCTACACGAAAATATCCCTTTTGTTCGGCACAAGCACCAGAATAAACACAGCTTCAGACATTATTCTAATGTATTTAACAGCAAGGCTGTTCTTGTTTCCTATAGATCAGGGCATAAGGTGAAGACTTTGGTGAAAACCAGAGGATCTATTGAGACAGCTGAGGATACCTGCCGCAGAGGACCAGGCTACCAGGCTAGACAACCATGGATGAAACAGATTTTTCAGAAGATACAACTTCCAAGCAACAGGAGGATCTGCCTTACGATGACACTTGCCCCCAAGTGCAGATGTGTGATGATGGCGATTTTACCTCAAAAAATAAGGTCCTTGGGGTTGCCGATCAAGTTGTCCTCACAGAAGAGGAGCTGCAAGCAAAGGCAGCACATAGTGAGACTTGCCCCGATACAGCCGCAGCCACGACCTGGGGTAGAATTACTGAGAACGACTTCGTTGTTGACAAAAACTGTGATAAAGAGAAACAATATCCCCTGACACTTTATATTCCAGCAGATAAAGGAGATACTTCGAAGTCAAAGATTTCTGATATTTTGCTCCATCATCTTTCAAAGGAGCAGTTTTTAGGAGGTCAAGGCATTGATTGTGAAACTCTGCCAGAGATCTCTAATGCTGACAGTACTGATGAAGCAGCTATTGTCACAAATATTTCTTCATGCTATGTTAGGAACTTTTGGCCAAAAGAACAAAGCCCAGAATTCACCGACCAACTCAACCCTAACAGGGATGGAGAGAACAGCAGTAAGCCCAGTCATTCTCCAGGTTTTTCTGATTTAGAAGAGTTGGTCACTGTTGGAAAGAGCAGCCATCAGGAAAATTCAAATCTTTTAATACAGATCACAGATCTGGGTGACAAACAAAAAAGTTGCAAAGGGCACGAATCCCAGAAGCAGCTGACTGAAAAAGCAAGCTCAAGCAGTGTGTGCAAATACGGCCAAGGTCAAGTTCATTACCAGCCCCCAGATTTCTCTAAGGTTGCTCCGGAAGTGAAAATCCCCAAACATAACCTATTGAATAAGTCACCCACAGTAGCTAAACAAGCCAGCTTTTCCCCTAAATTGAGAAATAAATCCATCATTGTGCAAGACATTTTAGAAAACCTGTCTAGGTCAAATTCTGTTGAAGAGCAACAAGCAGAAAGGCAAGGGAACAGTGCAGAACCTTCACAACACGCGCAGGTAAATGAAAATAGCCTCCCGTAAGTACGTAGGGGGCTTCTGCCCGTGTCCGTCAAGGTGACTTTTTGAAAGGTGTGTAGAGTACATTTCTAGCTCTGAGGTTCCACTGGACACCAAACAGTCCACTGTGACGTGCATGCCGTAAGGTCGCCACCTCTGCCCTAGTCATCTGGGCTGGTGGCTAGCATTTGAGGAGCTCAGTGGTGGTGGTCTGAGAAAAATCAGGAGCCACACTCACAAAAATACCTAAGAGGATAAGATCCAAACTCAAGCTGTATTCTTTACCTGCCATCCTAAACTCAGCTCCCCTCGTAGGGGTTGTCCACAGCCATCTGGCTGATCCTGAGCCTCTTCCCAGGCTCTGAACCCTCTCACCTCTTATCTTGTGTGAAAATCCCATCTCTGCTCATCTCAGAGCCTCTTTCAAGTCCCCTCAGACCACGTGACTATTCACAGCCGTCTTTGCCTGTTCACTACTTCTGTCAGAACATTTATCTCAGCCTGCTTTGGCTCGTAAACAAACTGGAAGTGCCTGTTTCTCCTATTGGATTCAAAGACTCTGGAGGGCAGCAACTTTGTCTTCCTCCAACAGCTCAGCCTTAGTGTCTTACATACCTTATCCCTTTAGTCACTAAAATGAGTTGAACTAAGCTCTTTGATAATGTTTTTCAAACATGTTATGTCAGTAACATTGAATGCAAGATTTTTCTTTTTTTTTTTTTTTTTTTCTTTTTTTTTTTTTTTTTTTTTTTTGTGGTGTGGGGATACCAGGGATCGAACTCAGGACAGGCTGGCATTTATGCTGCTGAGGTACCTCCTCAGTCCAGGTGCAAGATTTCATAAATTTTTTTATGCTATCTTCCTTTCCTCCTTATCCAATCTTCTCATCTTCACCCAAATTCCCAGCTTGCTGAGACTCAGGTTCTCACTGATTATTTGAGCTTTACCAGTAAGATAAAGTCACCTTAATCATCAATGTATCATTCCAGTTCTTTGGCACTTACCAGGACTGTACTGTCTTTCTTTCAGCCTTATATGAGGGGCATCCTATTTCTATTTCATCCCACATTATTCAACCCCCTTCTCCAAGTGATCACTCTGAGGAATTTCAGCAGGAACACCCACCCCCACACCCACCCATCCACCCACCCCACACATATACCCAAGGGGCCAGTACACCACTTGGCTACCACTAGGCGGCTGCTCCAAGCCTTGGATATACCTGCACCCCGTGGTATTGGGAGGTCTCCGGGTTCTTTGCTCTGCTTACAGAAGAACATGTGCATTGCGCTCTATCCTCAGTACCTCAGGCCTGGTAGGAGCAGCGTGGATGTCAGGCCCATGCCCCTCGGGTGGTGGGCATCCGAGGTCAGGCATCTGATTATTTCTAGTCTTTGTCAATTCAGATTGGAGAACTGGATCCTAGAATTTTACACTCATAGACTGGTCATTTTGACCACTGCTATTTAGCTCTTTGACATTCATATGTGTCTAAGATTGAAGCATTGGGAACAATAGGAAGAACTTCCAGGTAAATCACTCTGGGATTAAAACCTCTGTTCAAGTAGCCTGTGTTGAATGGAAAGAAATCATTATCTTGATACAAATTTTGGAATTTATTTATTCTATTTTTTTTGAGGCACTGAGGATTGAACTCAGGACCTTGCCCTTGACAGGCAGGCACTTATGCTGCTGAGCTATATCCCCCGGAATTTAATGCATGTTATATTATTGCTAGAATAACAGCATCAGTGAAAGTACCAGCAACAGAGCTGGTGACCAGATCAATGATGGTCCCTGCCGTCATGGGGCTTCTATCTAGTTTTAGGAGAAATATTTGGGTAATCCACATACTAGTATCAAAACTGATCCTAATGACTGAGAGTATTGCTGAATACTTACCATATGCCTAATAATATGATAAATATTTAATGTTTAATGCTCATAGCAATCCCATTAGGTAGATTCTGTACTATCTCCATTTGTCACATGCTGACAGTAATGATGATTGCCTAGGTCAACCAGCAAATAAGTGTCAAGTGGAATTTAGTTTAAGCATCATGGCCCCAGCTCATGCCTCAGTGAGGAGCAGGGCGCTGCAAGGCATTCTGGGTAATGGTGCCTTTGACTCCTCTCAGCGGTAATGTTTTCTTATCTTTAATTGTGCAGATGGAGTCTCCGGTACACATCCAAGAACTTCTCACAGGTACTGGTGTGTTTTGTTTTTGTTTTTCTTTCTTTCTTTCTTTTTTTTTTTTTTTTTTTTTTTTTTTTTTTTTTGCATTTTAGTACAGGGTCTACAGGGTCTCAGTACACAGATCCAACTTGTAGTTATCTGCCTGTGTTCAGCCTCCCAAGAGCTGGGGTTATAGGTGTGTGCCACCATGCCCAGTCTCAATTGCCAGCTCAGTGTGTGTGTGTGGAGGGGGGAACAAGGAACGCTGGGAATCAAACCCCAGTCACTTCATCTGCCTAAGCAGGAGCTTTAATCTGCTGAGCTATTTGACTGGCCCTTGGTACTGGTATTTTAAAGCTTTCTTGATTTAGATAGTTTGACAGCTTTTTTTAAAAAAATAGTAAAAGGCAGTGACTGCTACAGCCTTCTGTCTTCAGTGCTGACTAAATCTGTGTTAAGTTGAAATAAATGGTAGAAAGAACTCTTTTTCATCCAGGGTTAGAGCCAGAGCCAAGTCTCTTGACTTTGACATCAGCCTCTCAGAAAGACCTTTCCACAAGTTCTTCTTCCATATTTCAAAAGATATGCCAAGGGAAACAGATGTATCAGAAATTGAAAGAACAGACGGATCAACTGAAGACTAAGGTAATACATTTCAAGCTGACTCTAAATGGTAGAAATAACTATCGGTAAATTTAAATACCAGACTATACCATTAATGAAATATTACTTCTTTTCATTGTAGGTACAAGAATTTTCCAAAAGACTACAACAGGACACTCTCTGCCATTTGCAAGACAAAAAGCTGGTAATGAATTTTATCTGGTTTTTAACATCTTTATTAGGACATTTGATATAGGTAAATATAAATAACTTCATAGCACCTTGTTTCCACTATGGTGGTGGACCTGGAAATGTGCTGGTAAGAAAAGTTTGGCTGAAGATTAAAATGTATTATTTTCTGGGGCTACAAGAGCTGAGAATTATGGTGGTGGTGTTGTTGGGATTTTTGGTTTTGTTTTTTTCAGTACCAGGGATTGAACTCAGAACCTTGTGGCTGGGCTGGTGAGATGGCTCAGTGGTCTAAAGCACCTACTTAGAACAAGCTTGGCAAAGCACAGGGACCGCGGTTCAATCCCCCAGCACCACATGACAGCCAGCCCCGCCCCCTGGTGGGCTGAGCTGGCCCCCCCCACACACACAAATAAATAAAATTTTTTAAAAAAAGAACCTTGTGGTTGCCAGGCAGGCGCTTATACCCCTGAGCTATCTCCCCAGCCCTAGAATTATATTTCTATATGCACTTGGCCCTCTTTCTTTCTCAGGAGACCTTTTACCTCATCAGTCACCTATAACAAATCTGGGACCACACCGTGTTCTGGAGAAGAACTCTTATTAAGGGTGACCCATAGCTGATGGATTTCTGTAGATGTAGGTTATAAAAAATGCTGGTCCTTGGTAGCTCAGTAGTAAGACTTAGAAAACATTTAAAACCAGACTCAAAGCAGTGCGTTTAAGGTTGAAGTTTTTTTCTCTTACATCCCTGCTTGTGGCTGCAGTTAATCAAATTACTCAGTTACGTGGTCACCGTAATAGTCTTGTGATCAGCGCTGTGGCCATAAGAAGTGGAGGTGGAGCAGTGGGGGAAAGCTCAAGCCTGGGAGAACTCCGGATGGGCAGAAGATGCATTTGGGCCACTAGGTCAGCCTCCTGATGGAGGCTACGCTGCAGGTATCCCAGAGGATGGACAAAACCCAGAAGAATATAGATGCTAAGGGACACAGTATTCATTTACATATTATGTTAATTGAATCATTCATTCATTTATTCATTCATTCCACAAATATTTCTGAGGCATTTTTCGTGCCCCAGGCCCTGTCCCAGGAACTAGAGATTTGGAGATGAACAAACAAGCATTTTCTTTTCCAGTAGCAAATAACTAAAAGATAGCTTGAGAAATGTCACAGAAGGGGCGACCAGATAGCTCAGCAGATTAAAGCACCTGCTTAGGCAGACGCAGGGACTCGGATTCCATCTCCAGCATGCCGTGTGGGGCCCTCCTCGCCTGGGCGTGCTGAGACAGCAATTGAGACTGGGTGTGAATTGTCTCTGTAATTCCAGCACTTGGGAGGTTGAAAACAGGAGAAAGAGTCCTATCTGTGTAGTAAAACCCTATAGACCCTGTAGTAAAATACTTAAAAAAAAAAGAAAGGAAAAGAAATGTCCGATGATGCTCACGGCAGCCTAGAAGAGGCATGCCCTTGCTTTCAATAGGATAGTTCAAAAGGCTCTCTGGAAGGGACTTGAGACCTGGGCATTGCTGGAGGAAAAGAGATAAGCTGGGCAGCAAAAGGGCAAAGTCTCCTGGAGAAAGGAAGCCGTGGGTGCAGTGGCACAAGCGCTGGAAAGCTCTGCATGTGGGAGGTTCTGTGTGGCCCTGTAATTTACCAGATGGAGCTCGGAGGACCTGTGGTGAAGTGGATAGGGGGGAACTACAGAGGCGGGCAAGAACCACATCTACAAGGCCTTTAAGTCATACTAAGGAGCTTAGATTTTATCCTGACTCTGGGCAATAGAGACACTAAAGGATTTAAAGCAGAGACAGCAACCACCATGGAAGTTGACCACAGGGAGATGATCACGGTGCTGTAATCTAGCCAGTGAGGAGAGCTCAAAACAGGTCAGGGAGAGAACTCAGTGGCATACACGCCTGCCTGTCTGCCTGGCAAACACAAGGTCTTGAATTTGATCCCTGGTACCACTTAAAAAAAAGGAGAGTTCAAAACAAGGATGACCATAAGGATGGAAAGGGGAAACATCTTTGGGTTTAAAGTAGCAATAGACTGAAAGGAACAGAAATAGGAAAGGAGTGAACTCCAGATTTCTGGCTCAGACAACCGTGATGCAGGATAAAAGTGGAGGGTCCACTTCAAAGAAGCAGAAAAGGGACAAGATATTAAGTATAGCTTGGGGACACTTTAGGTTTGGGGGCCCCTAGAGGATGTGTTAGTGTGGAGGCTGGGAAGGCAGTTACAGCAGTGCATCTGGCCTTCACAGGTACTTGGGCCAGAAATGTTGATTTAGCACAGTGATGCTGATTTGGTTTGAAGTTATGGGACAGCTGAGAGTTCCCAGGTGGAACAGGTGGAGGGAGATGCAAGAGTCAAGGAGAGAGTCACGGCAACAGCAACCGGAGGGCAGGGGAAAAAGAGGGCCCACAAATGATACCCAAGGGGAGGACCCAAGGGAACAGAAGGAGGCTTGAAGGGGCAAAGCTTTTGTTGAAACCAAGAGAAAAGATGGCTCTAAGGTGGGGCAAGTGGGCCCCGCCATCATGTTGGGGGAAGAAGGAAAATAAGTGAGAGTTGGATTTGATAATCCAACTGTCATGAGGTGCCCTGGCAAGCCTTGTTTCAGCAAGGTGGTGTGTCTGGAAGGCAGAATCAGAAGTCAGTAATAAACAAAGGTCTCCCAAGAGCTGGGATTTGGGGAGCTGGAAGAGCATAGGCTTTTAAAAAGGACAAAGCCAAAGAGAACTGGTTTAAGGTTTCAGCCTTCAGAGGTCTTGATTTAGGAAGTTTCCTCCTGATTGTAGAGGGCAAGCAGTAATTCCGGTTAGGAGTGAGGACAGTAAAGGCAGCTGCTGGCAGTTTCAACCTGTGGTCGGGGTCTTCCAGTGTACTGGTTCACTGCTAGTAAAGGGCCAGAGCAAGGCTAGAACTACCCTTGCAGTGGGAGCAGCACAGCACGGTGGGAAGCAGACACCCAGGTTCTGCTCATTGGCTACACAATCTCAGCCTCCTCGTAGCATGTCTTCCTTCTCAGAGGTGTTATAAAAACTAAATGCAATACTTTTATGCCTAGAAAACTGAGCCCTGTCTTCTGAAATATACTTCAAATTCCAAGATCCAGAATTAGAATCTACAATTGGCTCCCTTCTCCTTATCTTCTTTCCTCTGAACTTCTAATTCCCTCTTGTGGCTTTAACTGATGTGTTCCTGCCACCAGTTCCCAAGTCCTGAGTCCCAGCTTTTCATCTGTGGTTCCCAGGGCTGTGTCTTTTCTGGCACATCCCACCCTCACTGTCACTGTCCTTGTCCAGCACTGACATCACTATTCTGACTTGTTAGCCTTCCCAAGTCCTTGTTTTAGTCAAGATTTATCACATTTCCCCCAGAATTTCCAGTATTGCCTTGAATCTTGGCAGGGAGGAGAAAGTTGGCTTTTAAAATGGGGTCATTGAAGAGAGATTTAATGAAGGCATCCTTTTATAACCATGTGGGAGAAGTTGAGAGAGACCAATAATGGGTGGGAAAGCAGCATATGGGAGGAACTTCTTCACCTGCCACCTGAAGGAGCAGAGGTGAAGCAGGCCCTGGACCCTAAGGGAGCAGCGATCGTGGCGGCTGTAGGAGAAGCAAACAAGCTCTGTGCCTTACGGTAGGAGGGTGACATGGTCAGTCCATGGTGGTACAGAGAAGAGGCCAGCTCCTCTCTCTCGTGCTGCCTTCTGTAGGCTGAAAACAATGGCAATCAGGGCAGACAGGAACCTGTTGATGCTGCTGATCTAAAAGCAGTTTTCTGGCTGGGACATGAGAAAGATGGAAGCTAAATATGTCAGAAAATGGAAAATATCTCCTGGACTCATCCTTTCTACACCCCCTAGCCAATGTGTTTCCAAACTTCTGTTTACTCACTTATTAATCAGAATTATAGTTCTGGGGGAGGGGATAGCTCAGCAGCACAAGCACCTATCTGGCAAGTACAAGGTCCTGAGTTAGATTCCCATAACCAAAAAAAAAAAAAAAAAAAGAAAGAAAGAATTTATAACAACAGCAGCTACCATCTATTGAGTATGTATAAATAGTTCTTGACTTTTTTTGTTTGTTTGTTTGGTTGGTTGGTTCTTGACTTCTAATAGCTCAACTTAACAACTTGTCAATTTACCATGATGTGTATGTAGAAACTACTTTGAATTTTTACCCTTTCCTGGGCTCTGTGGTACTCTCCGGAGACGCAGGGCAGTGGCAGCAAGTCATATCTCCCAGTCAGCTGTGCAGTCACACGGTGAGCAGCTCTTTCAGTTACTCTTCTCTTATTGCTCGGACCAAGTATCCAACACCCAAAATTAATAAAAGAAAGGTTTATTTAGCTCACAGTGAAAATTTCAGTCCATACTCCTGCTGGCTCCAAGGCAGAGTAGCACATGGCAGGGGGTAGCAGTTCATGGTGGTGGAAAACAGTAAAGGGCAAAGGGAGGAGACACAGCTCTGGCTTCTAGCAAGCCTCCCTTCCTTCCTTCCATGCTGACTGCGGAAGACTGGAGCTCCTCTGAGGAAGTGGCGCTTTCCTCAGTTCCTCTTTATCTCCTTTTCCTACTGAGTCACTCTAGGGCGGTCCCTCTATATCCTAGGGAGGGCCCTCCACGCCCTAGGGTGTGGAATTGCTCAGCTAACTTAGTTAAACTTTTCACTTTTCAAGTTGATACAATGTATCAACCATTAGGCCAACCAACACTGTATCCTGTGGCCGCCCTCAGCAAAGGGAACAAGCTATTTATTCAGCACTTAATTATAAAATCAACTTTGTATTTCATCAATTATAGGCTAATATAAGCATTTTGAGCCTTTTTTTGGCTAGGCTGCATGGTGATGTATTAGATGTATTTTTAATACATCCATACAAATCTATTCCATTGACCATGGTGATATAGGGATGTAACTCAGCTGGAAGCTGAGGATCATCGGCGCTATGCTCCCGGCACAGCGATCTCATTTAATTTTCAAATGTGAGATGAGAGATGTTATGTTCATTTTACAGATGAAACACAGAAGCATAAGGAGTTCAATTGACTAAAGTCATTCAGTCAGGGGCTGGTGAGATGGCTCAGTGGTCTAAAGCACCTATTTAAAACAAGCTTAGCAAAGCACAGGGACCGCGGTTCAATCCCCCAGCACCACATGCCAGCCAGCCCCGCCCCCTGGTGGGCTGAGCTGGCCCCCCCCCACAAATAAATAAATAAAATTTAAAAAAAAAAGTCATTCAGTCAGTAAGGGACAGAATGTGAACTTGAACTGCGTTGTTCCTGGCCTCGTTGCTCCTCTGTGCACCTCCCTGCCCATGGTAGTGTCCTTCCAATCTGCCCCTTAATCTCCTTTCCATAGAGGCTGCCACAGTGGGCCTTCTGGGCACCCTGTAAGCCTGACCTAAGTCTCACTCCTTACCTTGTGCCTCGCCACAGGAGCCTAAGCTACAGCCTCTTTTTTCAATGGGTAAAACCTTTAGAACAGAGACGGTGTACTACACAGGTTTCGAATCTCATGCTTCTGGACTGGGGCAGACACAGGCAGGGCCGGGGGAGTGTTCAGGAGCTAGGACATGGAGCTGAAGCATCTCTGTGTCTTCTAGCCCTGCCCCACAGCGACACAGTGCAGAGATTCATCTGCATCCCATGCGGCCACCCGGACACCATCACTCACGCTTGGGCTGAACCTTGCTGTTCCTCCCAGGTCTCCCTCTCCAGCTGCGTGGACGCTAACCCAGGCTCTGTGACTTGGGATCTTTCCTTAGATCAATGCAGCTTCGGCCGTGCTCTTTAGAGCCCCAATTTCCTCCTCTTGGAAGTCTATGTTGCCACATTTTCAACATCGAGGAGTGGATGAAATAAGGAATAGGGAAGCACTTGGTAAATGTGCAAGACTGTTTGCCTTGCAGCCGTATGCTAGGAGGTGTTGTGGCTGTTGCCATGACTCCGGGTGGTCTATAATTCAAATGTCAGACATGGAAACAACTGACACTGTAAGGAAGTGACACCTTCCGTTGGACACTACTGCAGGGCACACCTGCAATTGTGTTTTGGGAAAACAACTCCATGCACAGGCTTACTGTGAATGATTCCAGTGACTTCACTGCCACAGGTGCTGGAGCAACTGCAGGGACATCTTGAAGAGCTGCAGCAGGAGTTTGTGGCCACCAAGGAGAAGCACTTGGCCTTGCTGCAGCAGCACATCCACAGGCAGGAAGCTCCAGCCGCTGGTGACTTTGATCTGGAAAGGACAGGTTTACATGAGACGTGGAAGGTGGAAGGGTCCAAGGCGACCACTTGCAGGTGGGATTCTGAAGTAACTGCTGGCTTAGTACCAGGAAAGACACGGGTGTAGGCTCAGCAAAAGCTGTGTCGTCAGTGCAGAGTACCGAGGAGCATGGATGCAGTCTGGTGTGTGCAGGGCCTGTGCTGGGACTTGAGCCGGGGGGTCACCTGTCTCCTGGGACACAGATACTGTGTCCCCATTGTGCATTTTGTTGGGTGCTGTCTCAGTTGGCTCTAAGACATCAAAGAGCAATGGAAAGCCCTGGAAAAGCACAAGGGCTGGTTACTGAGCACGGTCTCCCCTCCCTTCTTCTGTTTCGCCTCGCTCCTGCTTTTGTTGTCCCTTTCTGGTCTGTTCCGTCCCTTTCCCATCCACTGGCAACTTTGAAAGGCAGCCAGCAGGAGAGGGCCATTGTAAAACTGGCTTCTGTTGCAATGAGGGACCCACAGACCCGGATAAAGGGAAAATGTTACAGCTTACGGTGAAATGATTGCCGAATTTCTTCACATGAGAGATTTGCATGCACACTCCAAGTTTCCCATTGGCCATTCTCATGAAATCATTCTCTTCCTACTCCAGATAATTTTAAGACACATTCCAGAACTCTGGGCTAAGATTGTTTCCATTTAATTTCCTGGTATGAATTAAAAGAATCCAGTGAGTAGACTTAATATTTGTAAAGCTCAGCTCCTGTGATTCATGGCATTTTAACATGAGTCATGCTTGATGCCAAAATATTTTACTGATTTATGTTTCATGACTATCGTCCTGAGGTGTTTTGCCTGAGGTACGATTTTAGTTTTCCAAAATGAATAGGACCTCTGTGTACCTTTATTTCAAAACTGAGTAATTAAACATCAAGGATGAGGTGTCCAGACTGAGTTTTCCCAAGAGCTTATCCCCTCATCCCTACCTGCGAAAAAGAGATCTCTGCACTCAACTGCTCTTCTTATTTTTGTAATCAATAAAATAAGAGTTATTGATTTTCCAAAGAATCCCTTGTTTAGATCATGGCTTGGACTTCTGTGCACGTGGAAACCAAAGTTACGCAACACTTTATTTATATCCTAGTTAGAACCACACTGCTTGGCTCGGGTATAAATCAAGAGGGTTTGAACTGCAATTATATCCCATATAAGGGAGAAGCTGTCAACACTGGGGGAAGAGAGGGACCCAGCCTCTCCCCAAACTCCCTAAAAGCCACCCCAGGACAAGCCAAGGCGCGTCAGCTCAGGCCTGGCCTCATTTCCACACGGGCTGACGTGGCATTCTGCGGAACCCCACGTGTTCGTTGGGCCCTGAAGTGCCGAGAGTCTTCTAAATGTGTGGTTCATGGGCGAATGTGGACAGCTTTCTGCAGGAGCAAGAATTCTGCACATTTATTAATCGCTTGTTTCCACTCGTTGCTGTGCTCTTATTAAAACTCTCTCATTATATTTAAAGGGCAACAGGGGGTGTAGCTCAGTGAGAGAGCTCTTGTTCAGCCTGCCTGAGGCCCTGGGCTCAATTTCCAGCAACACACACACACACACACACACACACACACACACACCACAAAAAGTGTCTTTGTGTATCATGCTTCTTGCTAGCCCAATGATCGTTAGTTTAGTCTTCTATCGCTGATATTTTTAGTGGACAATCTTCTGATACTTAGAAAAGATCAAGGATTCTCTCAGAAATGTCTCCTCCATCTCCCAGTCTCCATGCTTTCACCCCACCCCCACCAGCCATGCCCTTCACACCCTCTTGTCTGCCTGCCCGCAGGTCTTGTTTTGGCATTTCGCTTCACACATTATTAGTCCCCCCTGTAATCACCCCTTGCCTCACTCCCTTCAGCCTGCTAGACTGCAATACATTTTCCAGCATTTTCTTCAACTATAATCGTTGTTTCCCTCTGTCTGGCACTTATTGATTAAGCAGCCTTTCTCCACTGGTCAAAAAAGAACCTCCATCAGACACAAAATCTCCTGTGCGTAGGTGGGACTGGGCCTAGTCTCTCGTGGACCTGTTTCTCTTTCTACATTAGCTATCTACTTTTCTATTACTACAGTTTCTATTTGGATATGTTTATTCTTTTGAAAATTTTCCTTTCTACCTCTGCAATAGTCTTCTCACTAATAAACTTTATAGTCAGCACAGCAGGTTTTCCTTAATGCACTTCCATGAGTTGTACTGGGCTTACAGATTAGGTTGGGAAGAATTAAGACCTTTGCAATCACTGTTCCCACCCAACAGCATGTTTTCTTTATATGGATCTTGTTATATGTGTTGTTTATTCCTAATAATTTGAGTTTTTCTGACTATTAACAGATTTTTTTCTAATTGATATAGATGATTTCTCTAGGCAATGTATAGAATATATTTGAGCTCCTTGGGCTACCTTAGGCACTTTTATTCTTAGGGTTTTGTTGATTTTCACTTCATTGCCTTTGTTTTTAGGAATGACCATCATTGCATCTGAAAGTAATGATGGGATTTTTCTCCTTGAATATTTATGCTTTTCTTTCTTCCCTATAAATCTTATCTATTTCCTATTGCTTTATTTCATTTCCTAGGTTTGCCAGAACAATACTATGTAAATAATACTAATGTGAGAGAGAATTCTTCTCATGTTCCTAAGAGTAATAGGAATTTTCCAAGGCAGGATGATCACTGTAGGTTCAAGTAGATGAATGTCAGTGAGAACATCTCCTTTCATTTCTAGCTTTCAAGAATTGGGGTGGCTGCTACTATTTAATTTAGGAAAGTGTTAAGTCTTAGTGTAACCTAGTAATGTAGTATAATGTATTAATAAATATCCTAATGTTGGGCCGGCCAAACAGCTCAGCGGATTAAAGCGCCTGCAAGCAGGTGCAGGGACCAGGGTTCGACCCAGGCCTGCCCTGCCGGCCAGCCCCCGGCGCGCGCTGAGACAGTGATTGAGACTGGGCATCGGGGCATGCACCTATAATCCCAGCTCTTCTGTAAACAAGAGAATCATGAGTCCGATCTAGTAGTGAAACCCTGAACACCCTATAGACCCTTCCCTGAAGTACAGAAGAAAAAAAAATCCTAATGTTGATGCACAGAATGAATGGGTTGGGAAATTTTTTCTTTTTTTTTTTAATTCATGTCCT